AGTTTGCCGCAGGGGAGTGGGCCGGGATAGAGTTGGACGAACCAGTTGGCAAGAACGATGGATCTGTTGGTGGAGTGGCGTACTTCCATTGCCGTCCTAATCATGGTATGTAAATTGGTTCACATGAATAGATCTGTTGTTTTTTTTTTTGTTTTTTTTGGAACCTCTTTTTACTAGTGGACTCCTGCGGTTCAGAAACAATGATCAAGATTTGGAGCAGAGAGCAAAGAAAACACCATAACATCTATTTTCAAGCCTTGCCAAATCCATCCTGCCTTTCACTTCTCTTCCCAATCTCCTMTTCTCTTTTCCCACAGGAAGCCCTTGATCCCAGTTTCTTTAACATATTCCGCTTCATAGCTTGTTAACATGGTGSATTCTGGTATAGCTTGGGAACCAACATCTTTTGGATCTTCATGCCTTATATACATATGACGTTGTTTGTAGCCAAGCTAAACCTGAATTCACCATGTTCACTCTCTCATATACACTTAATTGAAGAATCGTTGTTGGGTTCAAAAACATTGAACATAAAAGCTGAGACCGAAATGGCACATGGGAAATGACATAATTATATYATAATTTATTCATTTGCGCCATCCATGCAGTCGGTTTAGAATGCCAAACACGTATGAAAAAAGAGGATGATGCCACGGRTCGCCGGTCACAGCATGCATCTAATTAACGTACTTCCCATGTGCCATTTCAATCTCAGCTTCTATGTTCTATGTTTCTGAACCCGACARCGATTCTTCAATTGAGTGTAAACCATTTTGCTATGAATTGCAATTTTCCATTTCTTGAAAATTGATTATGTTTTAGGAATCTTCGCTCCGTCTTCAAAAATCGCCAAGGAACCAAGTCAACCTCAATCAATAGCTCGACCCAGTAGTCTGCCAACCCCGACCGTGCAACAAACCCCGAACCAGTCTTCCCAGGCAGCCTCATTACCACACTCCAGGACTTCAGGGCCGAGTTCTCGGGACCATTCCAGGTCAAGTTCTCCTGCACCTTCTCCTCATGACGTCAATGAGGCTGAGATAGCAGAAAAATTTGAGGTTTGTACCGATATGCAAGTGTTAGAACGGTCAGTTTTGCGCTTTTGTCAGCTTTTTTCATTTTTCAATAAATGACTCCAGAATCAGTTTCAAAAAGTCTTTGCTTTTCTTTTTAGTTTTACATTAACTTAAAGAGAAAATGTAGAAAATGTTTTAATCTTTAATATTTCAGCTCAATGACCGCGTGGTTGTTGCGGGACAGAAATCAGGGCGTGTACAGTACATAGGTCAGACACAGTTTGCCTCTGGGTACGTAGATCTTCCATTATTCCAAGGTTTTAGGAAGAAGGTGATGAATGGGATTGGAGCTTGCCCCTCCCCCCCCCCCCCCA